TTGAACAGGTTAGGCGAGTTGGCAGTCTTGGGTCTCAGGCTTTTTTCTGTGCAGTGGGAATGGTGCCACTGCCTTGTGATTATGAAGATAAAGTGGCCATGTATGGCTAAAAGTAAACCTCTGGGAATAACGCTGAGCTGTATTCAGCATTTTTGTCTGTTTTAAGATTTAATGGTGCCTTTCTGACTTTGGCCCCATGTTCTTTAAACAGAGCACAGATTCTGCTATGAGAGGAGGTGTGGGGCCACGTTAAGTTCAGAGCAGGCGAATGGGAGCTGCTGCGGTGGTTTGCTCTCCCTTTGGGATCAGTTATGTGACTCCCAGCATGCTGGTTCATTATAGCATGGGATCTGTCTAGGCAGGAGACCTGGTCTTCCTGTTGCTGTCCAAGAGTAGGAGGTTAAAGGTAGAGAAGGAGAGGCAGGGAGAAAGGCTAGAGGACATTCTTCTCTTCCTCCCTCTCCCTTAAAGAATTAACGGTGTTTTTATCTGGTCTCACACTGAAGTGTTGGCTTGCCTGGAACGCACTGTCTAGCTGGTTCTAACCTCAGAACAACACTCCTGCCTCAGCCTACCAAGTGCTGGGTGTGAACCTAGCATGCCTGGCTTTTGACAAGTTATTAGCAAATCTGAGGGGCAAGACTGCTGGATCAGCAGTTAGGGGCACTTGCTGTTCTTTTTGAGCATCAAGGGTTGGGTCTGAGCACACATGTGACAGCTTACAACTGTCTTTAACTTTAGTTCTGGGTAATCTGGCATCTTCGTCTGGCTCAGACGGCATGCAGCACAAACTTGGTTCATGTACATATGTGCAGGCAAAGCCACACATACACATAAAATAAAAATAAATCTTTAGAAAGGAAGTAAAGTGTATTTGAGCATAAAATGTAAACATTTTATATAAAATTAAAGTCTGTCTACTCCTATCAATAAATGTCCGTTTATTAACATTCTTTTCATACATTTAAAAAGATGCTGGTAATATTTTATATTCAAGCACAACTTAAAATATTATTTAGCTTGCAGTGTGGGTGTACGTTTGTGTGCATGTGAAGGCCAGAGGTTAGCATTAGGGGTCTTCCTGGGTCATTCTCTATATATAGCTAAAGGCAGAGTCTCTGGCGTGAATGCAGAGCTCACTGCTTTGGCTGTTCTGGCTGGCTTGTCTGGTGACCCGTCTCCCCCTTCACACTCTGGGATTACAGGTGGTGTCAGCATACACAACTCTGGAGCTTGCCACAGTAAGCCCTTTACCTGCGGAGCCACCTCCCCAGACCCTCAAGCACTCTTAAAATAAAAAACCAAGCAAAACAGAAAACCAACAACAAAAGACCCAAACTGAACTATTCAGACAGTTGTTGATCAGAAAGGGAGAAAGGGGGAAAAAAGAGCGCATCATCTGTAAAACTGAAGGGGGACTCTGCCCCATATCCTCCTAGACATTCTAGACAGAGGACAGCTTCGATTTAAAGACCCTTTGCACTTTTTGCTGTTTTACCCTTGTTTGGTGTACTAATGACTCTTCTGTTGCTGTGATGAAACACCATGAGGAAAGCGACTTAGAGTATTTGGGCTTAACCATTCTAGAGTGATGAGAGTCTGTCATTGAGGAGGCCTGGCAACATTCAACAGGCACAGCGCTGGAGCAGAGAGCTGAGAGCTCACACTCTGAAGGGGAACTGTGAACTAGAAATGGTGCAAGTCATTAAGCCCTTAAAGCCCTTCTCCAGCGACTCTTTCCTCCAACAAGGCCATAGCTCCTAAACCTCACCAAACAGAGCCACAAGTGTTCAATGCCTGAGAGTATGGCGTATGAGGGACATATTTCAGACTACCACATTTGGCATGCCCCCTTGATGCTTTTATAGGTTAGATAGGTTTGTTAATTTGTTTTGAGACAGGGTCTCAAGTGTGCTGCCTTGGCTACTTGGAGCTGCCCTTGAATTCAGTGATCTGCCTGTCTTAGCCTCTCAAGCACAGGGGTTAAAGTTGTGTGCTGCCATGCCGAATCTTATAGGCTCTATGTGAGTGAAATTAACATCCTGTTAGATTGAGAGGGCTGGGAATATTGTGTGCGTGTGTGTGTGTGTGCGTGTGTGTGTGTGTGTGCGTGTGTGTGTGTGTGTGCGTGTGTGTGTGTGTGTGTGTGCGTGTGTGTGTGTGTGTGTGTGTGTGTGTGTGTGTTATTTGTTGGATGTAAAAGCTGCATTGTTCTCGTCAGTGCTTTTCTGCACCTTAGGTTCCTCAGCCCGTGACTAGTCTGTCATCTAGTTCCAGAGGGAACCCCTGATGTGTTGCCACAAGTAAAGGCCCTCTTCTCAGGACCTGACCAGACGTGCTTTCTAGAAATGGTGCCTTACGGAAGATTTTGTCTTTTCTTCTCTCACAGATTTTGAAGCAAGCTTTATAAGGCTGTTGGACAAAATAACGAATGGTTCTCGAATTGAAATCAACCAGACAGGTAAACTGCTTCTCTCTGTTCCTAAAAACACCTACAGGTACTGCTTAGACATTCTTCTGCTTCTCCTGTTGCTGGTATGAATACTATATTGTGTTAAAAAATAAACTTCATTAAGCATTTTGTGTTTATGTAAGCCACCATCATGAATGTTTGGAGAAGAGCTTTTGGAATTATCCCAAGGAAGTGCTAAGTGGAGATTGTAATAATACAAAGTTCATTATTCTGGATCGTTAATATAATAGTTTCAAATGGAAAAAACCCATTGTGTTTATAGTATGATTATGTACATCTGTACACACACACGTATACCTTAAGAACATGCATATACACACACCTCCCAGTTTTTAAGAGGCATACAGAACTAAGGCTATATAAGGTTAATGGTCCAGTGCATGCCTAGCTTGGTCAAGGTTTAACCCTCAGCACTGGAAGAAAAGAAATAAGGAAAATACACTTGATTTTGAGAAGTAGACAAGTGACTATTTTAGACCAAAGTGAGCTTTCCTTCTTTCACATACATAACGTGTAAACTTTCTGAAGTCTGTTTATTTGTACTGTTTAATTATGTTGAGTTCTTACAGCAGACCCCCAGATGTACTGCATTGTTGTAGGTACTGAAATCTATTTTAAAATTTTATTTGAAGTTTCTACAAATAACAAGAAATGGACAATCCTTTCAGCCCCTTCTTCTAGACTCTTTCTAGAGGTAGCATGTCACAGCTCAATGGACTGTGCTTTTGCTGTTCTCTTGCGGGTCGCTTTCCTGCTGTCCTGTGCTGAGCTCTCCGTGTATTTCTGTGTGTTACAGCTTAGTACTTTAGTGTGTAGATGGGTAGGCATTTATTTAAACTATAAAATGGGTTGGTACACGTTTGAGTTCCTTGATGCTTTTTCTTTTCTCTCTCTCTCTCTCTCTCTCTTTTTTTTTTTTTTTGGGGGGGGGTTATTAGAACCACTACCTACACTGAATAGGAAGTAGGGCAGACATCCTTTGGTTGGCACGTGGACTGCACACAGACATGGCACACAGGATTCTTTAGCCTCTCCCGCATGCTAACTGTCTTCTGAAAGAAGGCAGATTTGGATTTGCAGGGGCAGGGTGTCACGTAGATGTACTGGCCTCTGTCTGTATTCAGCCATGCCTCGTGGGAACAGGCCCGGAATGAGGTGTTCACACGTCCTTTCTAGTTGTGTTTAAGGAAGGAAGGGATTGTTTTGATGTACGGTTTTTAGGTGGCAGAGAGGGTGTGGCAGCTCAGCAGTTCCTGGACCAGTAGGCTTTGAGGAAAAGAAGATGCTCTTCTTCATCCTTTATTCATCCTGAGCGCGTGGCCTTTGGGATGGGGCTGCTTCCCCTCAGAGAGGTTCTCCTGAAGCTAATCTCTCTGGAACCTTCACAGACACACCCGAGGGGTCTTTACCAGTCTCATAGGGAATGGTAACTATGATGGGTTGACAGTGACGTTTAGCCACCTCATACCCCCTCTGTCTGCCATCCCTTGTCCTCCTCAGGGTGATGATCAAGTCGGCTTCTTGCCTGAATAATCTGTAGACGTAAATAGAATGACAGACTACTTCTCAGATTCTTGACCGAAAGTTTGTTGCTGTGACTGAATACTGTTTAGAATAATGATCCAGGTTGTCCTTCTGAGACATGTTAGTAATGATCCTGGCTGTAGTATTAATATAGTAAAACCTGTTTATCTTATGGAATTCCTAAGAGACATTTTTCATTTATATGTCTGAACATATTTTCTTCCTCAAATGTTTCTATTTTTGGCAATTCTATTCCAGAGACATCATAAAAGCCTGAGCAGTAGAGACACTGCTCCCAAGCCACCTCGGATATTTCATTTGGTTTTCTCTACCATATGTACATGCATTCTTTTTTTTTTTTTTGATTGTGTGACTATGGGAAAAACTGAAACAGGTTAATGATGAGTGTCTACTGACACAGAATAAGTTGAAATATTTCACTAACTAATATCAAATTAAAATAGCTACCACTGGTAGGATAGGATATCACAAAAACCTGGTTTGTGAGATGCTGTGATTGGTAAGTGGGGTGTCTGAGAGACCCCATTTGAGGGAGGCTTCAGGATGTGGACTGCTGGGGTGAGACCATGGTCCACAGGCCTATCGTCAGCAGCCTGAGTGGGCTGGAAGCTTGAGGTCTCTTTGGAGCCATCTGTGCTCTGCTGAGACCGGGGCGGCGTGGCTAGCTCAGGAAGGAGTTGGTATATTACTCTGTTAAGTTGTACCCACAGTTTCTTACTGTTCCAGAGGCTTTTGACATGAAGCGTGGATGGCATTTTGAGGAATGGCATTTTGAGCTTCTTGGATGCCTTGGCCAGATTTCTGCTTGGAACCGACTACATTTTGTTTTGATACTTAATTTTGTTCCTGCTGCATCCTTTTTTCCCCCTCTTTGTTTAAGGAACAACCTTATATTACCAGCCTGGCCTTCTGTATGGTGGATCTGTGGAACATGACTGCAGTGTCCTCCGTAGCATTGGCTATTACCTGGAGGCTCTGCTTTGCCTGGCTCCGTTTATGAAGCACCCATTAAAAATCATTCTGCGAGGAGTGACCAATGACCAAGTGGACCCTTCGGTGAGTACTGGGGTCAAACCATGATATGATTTTTCTTCTGTTTGTTGCCATAGCCAGTTTCTTTGGGAAAAGTTCATTAGAAGGACAGTTTTTCATACGTGTTTCCTTTGCTGAGTCTTAGAGGTTAGCTAATTCACTCCAAGACACAGGTGAATCAAGATCCACAGTCATCAAGTTGGAGAGGACGGCTAACATTCGTCAAAGTGCCTTTCTCTGTTGTAGCTGTGAACCTTCAAAAGAGATGCTTGCTGTCTCATGCTTGACATGAAGTATGGCTCTGTGGCTGCAATGTGGACGGAGTTTCTTTAAGGTTGTGTGAGCACTATGCTAGAGGGCAGCAGATCAAAGTTTTAGGTAGGAAATGATGTATGGCTATTGCCACAGCATAATCTTGTCCTATCCAGGCCTTGGCCATTAATTCAAGGACTTTTCACCTAAGATGTTTCAGACAAAGTGGGCCTGAGGGCAGTGATGGGATGTGTAAGCATTGGTAGTTTGTAGGAAACATCAAGCTTTTCACCAAGCATGTTAATTTCCTGTAGATAGGAGAAAAATGGTTTAATACCCAACAAGAATTTTCATTTTGTTTACCATAGTTGTCAGTGTCTATTCTGTGGGGAGGGAAGGAGTCCACACTTGAGGATACTTTATTGTATAGAAGAGGCTTTTTTGTATAGCTGGTGGCCATGACATCCTCACTGAAGAAGTCGCTTATCTTCTCTGTAGATACGCACCACAGCAGCTTCTGACTAAGGGCAAGAAGGTGCTGCAAGTTTCCTGACTGGGAAGGAGACGTTAATGGCGACTGCCCATGCTTGCCAATGGTCCCACACGGTTAATGTGTTCTCGGGGAGTCGAGGGCGTGTTCCTCCGTTCTCAGAATCTTAGCCACATGGACTTCTCAGAGGATGCTCACAATTGACAGTTCTCAGCTGTAGGTGAAAGAATGCTCTGAAAACTGTTTAAAGTACTAAATTAGAGCTTCTGGCTGCCTCTCCCCCGCATTGTCTAGAGATTCTAGGAAGTGGTTCCTTTGGTTAAAATAGAGGAGGCATCTGCACTTTTAGGTTATAGGTAGTGATGCATCTGGACTAATGGTAAGCACAGGTTTGGGGATTTAGCACCGTGCCCGTTTCATTCTCATTTTATAGTTGCTGATAGTCATAAACACTGTCTTAAACAAGTTTTTAGAAACATTATCTATTAGTAAAAAAGATAGTTGATCAATTCCCAGAAATAGTGCTTTAACTATTTATGCAAAGTGCTTAAAGCAAATTTGTTTTCATAGTTAGGGAATGCCATGCCTACCAGTACTTTTCTCTTCTGGACATATTGCCACTTATGACTGAAGTGACCTTGGTCTAACCTGACTAGACTAGGTTAAAAGAAAGGTGCTTAATCTTGGGTAAAGAGTAACTTTTTCAGTCTATGGGCTCTTCACTTCAGGCATCTTCTTTTCTCTGTTCCCTATGGTTCTGCTCTCTACAAAAAGAATGGATTTCATAAGTTTCATGAATTAATTCTTCCTTCAAAGAGCTTTCCTTCTCCTAGGATGGGTAGCTGGCAACTGGAAGGCATGAGCTGGCACTATGAGATGTGCAGTTGTGGAATCTGTATCCTAGTCTGATGAGCATTGCTAAACAAAGTACCCGAGACTGCGTAGATGATGAAGTAAAACTTTCTCTTCTGAAAGCTCAAGAGATGGTGCACATTGAAAGATGGTGGAGGGAATGTCCTGGCAGGACAGAGAAATTGAGCCAAACCTAATCTTATATCAGAAGCTTGTTTCAACACTAACTAAGCCACGTGCCTGATACTGTCCATAATCTATCGATGAAGGCTATGTTGGCATTACTCTAAAAGTAAATCAACTCTAAAAAGTCCTATTTCCTACCAGTGTTACAGTGACAAATTTCAACATAAGACTATCAAGAGAGAGAGAAATTAGGGAAAGCTACTCCTGGAAGGAAGGCCACTCTCCGGATTTTAGGGAAACCCTGTAGTAGGTTACCATTTAGGTTTGTATAAGGATACTTTATAGTTCCCACAAGGACAAAACCACCCAACAATACATTTTTCTGAACCTCTCCCATTGTTAAGTGTTTAACTTGCTAAGTGTTGTTAAGTTGTTAACACCCATGTTTTTGGATATGTTTAGCTTTAATATTTAATTAAATTAGCTAGCCTTTAATAATTTGGCTAGATCCTGTCACATCCAGTCGATTGTGAAAGTGTTCCTAGGCCTTGTGATCATTTCCATTTCTGACCTACCTGTCTTCTGCTCTTAGAGCCTTATTGGAGGGTCATTGTATCCATTAGCCTGTTAGACTTGTGGCACCATGGAGACAGCAAGACTTGAAGCCTGTCCTTAGGAAGGGAATTCTGATTGCTGTGATTTTCTTCACAGGAGCTCATCAGAGGCTGAGCTTGGGACCAGGATTGGTCCTGGTCTCTTCTGCTCATGTAACTACTACCCTTGCTTCCTGTCATAGGGCTGCCTCCCCAGAGCCTTCTGGGAGCTCTGGATACGGAAGAGATGACAGTAATTGGCAAAATCCTGCCATGATCTGTCAGTACTGCTGTAATTACCATTTGAGGGTGTCAATGCTTCATGTATTGAGGTCATCATTCCCCCTAAGGTCCTCCCCATCCCCATAGGATCAGTACCTATATCAGGATTCTTAGGTAAACATTGAGGGGTTCATTTTGCTTGCTCTGACATCAGCTCTTAAGTGTTAAAAAGAGAATACTTGTTATGTATATTGGAAAAGCTTCAAAAATAATGTTATAATAATTATTAATAAATTAATAGAGTAATGTCATAGGTATGATACCTATGAGAATGAGCAGGGGTCCTGGTTTGTTTTCTGTGTACGTCTAGCAGTCTCTTTGAGTTTTGTTTGCTGCTTGGATTCTAGCTACATGTTCAAAGTTTAATTAAAAATTCTTTTTTTGAAATAACTTACAGGTTGATGTTCTTAAGGCAACAGCACTCCCTCTGTTAAAGCAGTTTGGGATTGATGGAGAATCATTTGAGCTAAAGGTAGGAATGTGTGAACTGCTGGCTGTGTATATCTAAAACATTTTTTGTTTAACTCATTGGAAAAAATGTGATAGATGATGATTTGAAATTTCATGTCCAGGGCTTTTTAACTGATACTTCAAATCTTGACCTGAAAGAGACCCTTTAATAATGGCAATAGTAGCCAACAGTCTTGTCCTCCTTTGGGGAAGGTGCTGTTATAAATGTACTGAGACCTTCACATCTCATCACAACTGTTGGTTAGCTGTGGATAGACCCACATGAATTTTGGCCGATTGTCTCTCTTGTCTGAATCATCCTGGTGTAATTTATGTCCAGAGGCTCCTGAGACTCCACAGTGTCTTAAGCCCAGTGAGAATGATTTAATCTTCCTGAATTGGGGTATAAGAAGAACCCATGTTTTCTGTGTCTGCTTTCTCCCATCTGCCCCTTACCACTTTGTGCAGATCTTGCGACGGGGAATGCCTCCTGGAGGAGGAGGTGAAGTGCTTTTCTCGTGCCCCGTGAGGAAGGTCCTAAAACCCATGCAGCTCACAGACCCAGGGAAAATCAAGCGGATCAGAGGAATGGCGTATCCTTTGCACTAGAATCCTTATTCTTCTCTTGCCTCATGAAGATAACAGCTCCACTTCTTTGCACCATTTCCATTTCAGCAGTCTCATGAAAGTTTTAGTGGTGAAACGGTACTAGTTGAGATATGTTTTATTATTTGTCTCACAGTGACAGGGTTGATTAATTTTTCTTCACGTAATGCTCCACTGTTGGGGGAAGGAAATGACTCTGTAAACCGTAGCTCCGGCATAACGTGTGAAGCGGGGTGGGGTGGGAGCGGTGGCTGGGGGAGCTGGCGCGAGGCTGGAGATGTAGCGCTGTCAGGAAGTGCTGCTGTGTCCTTTGGGGAAGAGCACTTTATGCATCTCAGCGCTAAGCTGCAGACATTTCAAGTTAACTCACGTCTTATTTTGCAGACAGGGAAACTGAGGTATAAAGGTTCTATTTGCTAATAATGTCACATAGCTAATTGGTATAAATGGGATAAACCTTGTCAGTAATCTGGAGCCCAGGCTTTTAACCCTTACTTCCCCCACCCCCACGTAGAAAAGCAGAGACATTTGTATGAGTCTTAAAGATGGAAGTTTATGAAGTAGGGCAAGAAAAGGGGGATGCTTTCGTGAGAAAAGTGGGCCTTTGCAGAAGAAGTGGCACACCAAAGTTCTGGGGAGTGCCTAACAATGTGGGTGGGTAGGACTCAGATGGTCAGTGACAGTTGGTGAACACAGTGGGTTATGAATTGAGCAGGAGCCAGTGAAGAACTGCTGAACAGTTGACTTTCATTTTAAAAGGAGGTGATGTTCATCTGGAGAGCAAATTTGCATATTAGGAGGACAAATTCGGCGGTCATGAATTTTGGAAAGTATGACTGTGGAAGAAAATCACGTAGTGGCAGCCTCTTAGGGACAGTGGTAACAGTGGTAACAGAATTATTCTGCTCTGTATTGAGGAAGGGAGGATGGCAGGGAGAGGATAAGTGAGAGCTTCAGGGGAGAGTGTATGGAACACAGGGAGAGGATTGGGAGTCATTGGGGGTACAGGCTTGTTGTTGGGGCTATTTGCTGACAGTAGGGACAGAAGCCTGGGGTAGGTATGGTGGAATAGTGAGAGTTCAGTGTTACACACGCTGGACCTGATGGCTTGACTGAAATAGGGTTAGGAAGGACATTAGGATTGAGGATCTATACCTCGGTGGTAAGAGAAAGGCTAGAAATGAAGGCTTTGAAGTCAGCAGTAGGGAACAGTGCAAAGACAGGAGACTGGAACCCTGAGAGGCCACCAGACCTGGAAAGGAAAGATTAAGTGAGGAGGAGTACAAAGAAGACAGGACCTCCTGGAAGAGCACAGTACCTGCTAAGGCACGGAGGAGTCAGTCTTGGCAGGGAAAAGCTGAAGGCTTGCACAGAGCTTTTGTAGAAGTGATGGAGGTGGAACACGTGACCAATTCTGGATTGTGGGGTGAAGGATAGGGAAGTAGTTGTGTTAGAGCTGTTCCTTTCAGAATCTCCACAGGAAAGAGAAGGTTCTTTGAACCTTCCCCCTGTGGAGTCCGAGGCACAAGACACTGTGAGGTGACATTTCCCTTCCTCTTGAGTGAAGCAGGGACAGAACACAGTTTGCTGGCACAGATCTGCCAATGGAAGCACTCACAGCACCCCTGTTCACATTCCTGTCTGAAGACCACTCGTGCTAGCCCTCAGTCAGCAGAACCCTCATTTAATGAGCCCCTCAAAGGAATATGGCCTGTGTCCCTACCTTTGTGAGTTTCAGAACTGGAGAATAAAAGCTGACTTTGGAAAAGCAGTAGTTGACTTTGTGGTTTTTACTTGTAGGGCTGGTTCCGGCTGGCCTGAGCTCATCCTTGTTTTTGAGTTGGGAGAACTGTGGTTTTAAATGACAGACACCTCCACTCTCACCCCCAGTGCCACTTTTCCTGCTTGCAGATCATTGACCAAGCAGACAGGTCCTGGGAGGGAGCTGGTGGTGGTCTGACCACCAGCTAGAGAGCAGTCCCCATTTATAGCAGGAGAGGAGGAGTGCGCTTGCAGTGTCATGGTGCTGAGCCAGAGCTTGTGTTTAGGCAGGCAGAGTTGAGTGCAGAAGCTGGGGGCCAGACAGGAGAGGTGGGTGAGTGTGGGACCATCTGCCTTCCTTTCCCTGTCAGTAGAGAGGGGCTAGTGTGAGTCTTTTGGTCTGTTTGTCTTTCACATACCATGACTCCCCGTGTGTGTGTGTGTGTGTGTGTGTGTGTGTGTGTGTACATGCATGCAGTGCACACCCAAACTCAGCCTCCTCTTGCCCTCTGCTTTCCCTGTCTCAGGAGGGTTAAAAGAAAGCTGGGGTTTTCGTTAGTTTTTTCTTTTCGAGACAGGATTTCTCTGTGTAGCCTTGGCTGTCCTAGACTCACTTTATAGACCAGGCTGGCCTCTAACTCACAGAGATCCCCCTGCTTCTGCCTCCTAGAATGCTGGGATTACAGGCCTGTGCCACCGCACATGCCAGAAGTTGTTTGTTTTTGTTTTTTGTAGCGAGGGCTCTTTAGTTTGAGCAGGTGTCTCAGTTCTGCATCCCAAGGGCTTACTCCATAGTAAGCTCAAGAGCCAGGACTTAAGGCCTCGTCTCAGGATTCCTGTGAGCATAAAATAAGGTGATATGTGTGTGAAAGAACTTTGGGAACCACGAGTGCAGTGGGATTGTGGCATCTTCTGAGCTGAGGGAAAGTGGGTAGGCTCAGGCTTCAGAAAGATGGCAACCATTCAGTCCAAAGGCTGTGAGATCTGGGGCTGTTTATCTAAACTGTGTTCAAAGTACATTCTGGACAGAAGAGGTGATGAAACTGGGGTCTTTGCATATTGAAAAATCCCTTTTTGTTCTTTCGCCATTTCGGATTTGTCCTTTGAGTCAAACCAAATATTTATCGAGTGTTTCTGAGTACAAAAGTGCTTTGCAGAGTCCTGAGGGATCCAGTTGTGAGCTGGCCTTAGAGAGCAAGGACAAGATGTGTCTGAAGGGAGATGCGGTAAGTGCAAGTCAGGTGCTGGCTGGAGGGCTTCAGGCAGGAGGTGTCTGTGGACTGAAGAGTAATGGGAGGCAGTTGAGGTTGCAGACTGACCTGGTGGAGGTAGGCAGCAGTGGAGGTAGGTGAGCTCGCTGAGCAGGCTGGGGGTCTTGGCAGCAGGGTGAAGGAGGAGTGCTCTTGAGCAGTGTTCAGGTCAGGGAGAGAAGCTGGCCGACAGGTCAGCCTCCATGCATAGCATTTTGTTCTTGAGTTCTAATGAAAGTCAAGTTGCTGTTAGTAATTATTGAACAGCTTTGTGGGAATGGGCAGGTCACACTATGTTGGAGTCCATTGGATTGATAGCATGGTGGTGGGGAAACATGATGTTTTTCCCATTGCTAAGTCTACACTGTTTGGGAGCAGGGGAAAAAACTCTCAACTCACTTGATCAGTACAGCTTTAAGGGGCCAAGGGCTACCTGCTCTGGAGCTTTGCCAGCCACACAGCACTCTCCTGCAGGCCCGGGTGCAGCAGATCCCTAGCAGGAGGGAAGGCCCCGCTTGGATTCCTGACTTACTCCAGCCACCCTGAGTATTCTCGGAGGTTTGTGGGTGAGCTAGGTACCGCCTGCCACCTTGTATGCATGATGTCATACCAGGGGACCATAGCCCTGGGAAGATGCCTTTGTTATGAAGTTTGAGTTTGGGGTTATGGGTTCCACATCCTCAGGCACCGATACCTTTTGTTAATTTCTTCCTCCTTTTCTGGGGTTCCTTGTTGTAAAATGCTGGATATGGTTTCCACCAGAGAGTAGCAAATAGAAGCCCCGCTGTCATTAAAAATGCACTGATTCTTAAATTTGTTTGGAAAACCTGTGGTCTTTAAAACAGCCGTCACCCTGACCTTTGAAAAATCATTTTCTGCTTCCTGTTCCTCTATTGTCATCCTAGGAGATGGGCTGAGATTGGCCCAGGGTTACCTAGTGGGGTATCTGGCCCAGGCTTAGGTTTGTTGTCACAGGGAGCCCAGTTGTGGCTGTGAAGAAGCGGCCATCTTCGCACTGTATAGAGTGGACAGTTACACAAAAATGGTATTTAGGAAGTCAGGGTTGAGCTGTGGGACCTGACTATACCTTCCATTCTAGGAATCTAAATTCCTTTTCATCATGAGTGCTTTGAACATTTGTTTTTATAATAATGAAAAAAAAAATAAGTTCTAGAACTATTAAGTTAATAACAGTTTGGGAGACAGTAGGATTGTAAGTCCCAGCCTGGCACAATTTTGCTAGCTTTCTAACTTGCTTTTCTCTGCTCTGGTACCCAAGCATCATGACCTCCTTAACCAGGGCTGCAGGTACTCTGTGCGTGTATCACCTCAGATGGCAAACCGGATTGTGGACTCTGCAAGGAGCATCCTCAACAAGTTCATACCCGACATCTATATTTACACAGACCACATGAAAGGCATCAATTCTGGGAAGTGAGTGCATCTTAGAACCTTAGCAGCTGAGCTCAGTGAGACACCACACCGCTCTTCTCTCATCTCGTTGATTTGAATCAAATTCTCCCGGTTTTGTTTGCCCCAAGTAAAAACATTGGATTCTGCCATTGTCTACGCGTGTTAAGAAATCACCTTTTCTCTAAGGGACCGCATAGCTGTTGCACAGGGTCTCTCCTAATTTGAGCAGAGAGTCAAAGTGAGGCAAGGGTGTGGTTGAATGTAAGTGGGAAGGTCGGCCTTCACACTGCCCAGGGGAAGTGATGGTGTCGGAGGTCAGGGCTGGAAAGGATGTGTGTAGAATTGGCCCTTCCCTCAGCAAATGGGAAAGCCATTGACTCCTCCATGCCTTTTATTATTCAAACCCAGAGCATTCTTCATTTACACACTGAGAGTAATAATGTAAATAGTGTCTGTGTAGCCTATTGGTGTATCTAGCACTCAGTAGGTGCTACAGAAATGGTAATTCCTAAAGTTGGCCTTTTCTTTGCACCTTCTGTGTTGGCTGTTGGTATGGAATTAGTGGGTCAGCTCTTTTCTGGAGGAGGTTTGCTGAGGGCTGGGGAAGGGTAGGTAGCAGCAGAAGCTGTCCGAATGTTCCAGGGTAGTCTGTTCTCTGATCTCTTGCTTTACCAAAATGGGCAGGAAAGAAACAATGCAGGCCTGGAGGCAATGCTGCCTGCCCCCAGCTGTAGTATAGCTTCTTACAGTGCTGTGCACTCAGCTGCCCTGGTATAGGGTCAGAGTAGCAGCCCTACATACAGATCAAGATATTGGCATGATGAGCTCCATTTAAAAATTACGTATAAAACCAATATGTGACTTACATTTCTGTTTGTTTTTTTAATCTCAAGCTACAAGCAATAAATCATTGTGGACTTCTGTGTGGATTATGCCCCCCTCTGACCCAGTGATGGATCCACATGAGTAAGGGTTGTTGAAATGTAGTATTTGTGACGTGAAGCCCTGGGAGCAAGCAATTTAAAAAAGAAAAAAATAAGGTAGTGCTTTATAGGTTAGAAAGCTGTGGAGACGACGCTTCGCAAACTCCCAGTGCAGATCCTCAGTGGTGGCGTGTGCACCATGCTAGACATGCCGTTTCTTGTGACTCAAAGGGGTCTTGTGTTTTGCACCAGACACCAGGTGTTGCTAATGGTGAGTGATGATAGATTGTTAAGCATGAGTCAGGTGCTCTGGAGCCTTTGCTTTGGCAGGTATTATAATTGTTTTAAAGATGTTAAAAACTGAGCAATAGAATTCTTCCACGTGAGGAATCCATATAGTGCATGAAAACATCAGAAGCCAGATTTGGTAGTGCATGTCTAATCCCAGCCTTCCTTGGTGGCTAAGATGAGGATTGTGAGTGTGAGGCCAGCCGGGGCTACCATCGAAACACTGTCTCTAAAAGTAAATGAATATAACTATACCTGTAGTTTTTCTGGAACTACTTTGGCATCTGAACAGTGTTGAGCGGTGTTAGAGGAGGCAGGTGTGTGTTGCAATTGTATATGGACCATGCCACTGGGAGGCTTTTTCAGTAATGTATTTACTTTGCACGGGCAAAGTACATTTGAGCATCAAGTCTGGCAAATTTATGTACCGTTTTGTTTTGTTCTTTTTTTTTTTTTTTTTTTTTTTTTCTGTCTAAATTGGTGGTTTGTGTTTTGTGAGGACCAAATCTCAGGTGTTTGCTCAGCATACTGCCTGGCTGTGGAAGCCTCCCACAGGTCCTTGCAGATGCATGAGTCAGCAGTGATCCTGGACAAGACTGTTAGGTTCTAGCTGTTGGATGGTAGAAACATGGCAGAGGCCACAGTGCTGGCCCATTGACTGTAGTTAAGTGGATTCTGAGTTCAGTGCTGTCTCTAGACAAAAGTGCAAACATGTACTTCCTCTGGCCCTTTCTGGTTTCACCCTTTTCATTATGGGAAACAGCTGGTATTTCTCAGAGTTGCGGTCATGATCCACAGGGTTGTAGTAATGGGAACTGGACAACTTGGATGGACTCCGGAATCTCTGAGGCCTATACTCCACACTTAACATTTGTCACTTTCTGGCCGAGTGCACATGGTTCAGGCTGCTTTCCCCCGGCATATTCTCACCAGTGAAAGGAGGCAGTGCCAGCTTCTCTACAAGCCTGGAGTGGCACTGTTATTTGCATGCTTGGTACCTAGAAGCCTGTTGATGTCATATTGTGATTGTTACAAACACAGTGAGAGTCTTTGCAGAGAGCAGGGAGGGAGGAACTAAGGGAATGGAGGCCTAATAGAAAATCCAAACTCCCTCTTTTGCTTCTGCTTTGTGTGCCTTGGTAGTCTGTATTTCTCTGATGAACAACACGTCTGCCTCTTTGTTTTGTTATGTGTTTTTTTTTCCCCCAAGGTTTATTTATTTATTTTATATATATGTGAGTGCTCTATCTGTATGTGTACCTGCTTGCCAGAAGAGGGCATCAGATGACATTATAGATGGTTGTGAGCCACCATGTGTTTCTGGGAATTGAATTCAGGACTTCTGGACGAGCAATCAGTGCTCTTAACTTCTGAGCCATCTCTCCAGCCCACATCTGCCTCTTTGTATGCTGCTGTGTGTGCCTTTACTTATTCAATGTCTGCCCTTGCATCATTAGGTCTCCAGGATTTGGGCTGTCGCTGGTTGCAGAGACTACAAATGGTACCTTCCTGAGTGCTGAACTGGCCTCCAATCCTCAGGGCCAAGGGGCAGCAGTGCTTCCTGAGGACCTCGGCAGGAATTGTGCAAAGCTGCTACTTGAAGAAATCTATAGGGTATGTCCCCAGCCTCTGCAGACGAAGGGAGAGGAACAATCAGGAAAAAGGCAACTTTACTCCTTTCTAAGCACTTAAGCTAAAGAGCTAACTTACATTTGTGTATCAAGCAGTTTAGAATTAGCTAGCCTAATGGGTTCATTGAACTAGTCCATGAGCAGAGACCTGGCTCTGTTGAGACAACAGACAGGCTTTAATGGGGACAGAGGAGAGAAATGGTACATTTAGAAAAGGGAGTGAAGGTTTAAAATAAAACACAGAAGCAGGTAAGGTTAAGATGTTGGTGGCTGGCACACTGACCTGACCAAAAGGAGGTCTCAGTCTTGGTCTCTCTCTTGCTCTCGCTCTTACTCTTGTTCTCTCCCTTGATCTTCTCCCCTCCCCGTCTGTTTTCATTTTATGTGTATAAGGGTCTGCCTGCATGTACATAGGTGTATCACATGCATGCCTGCTGCCTGCACATGGCTGTGAGCCACTGTGTGTGTGCTGGGGTGAATCTGGGTCCTCTGCAAGAACAGCAAGTGTTCTTTACTACCGAGCCATCCACTTAGTGCTGGGACTACTCTCTTAGCTGCCCCAGTTGTTGATATGTGGAGCTAGGGACGCACCTTCAGATTCATCCGGGTAGAAGTCTGGATTTTTATGTGGATAGATTTTTGCAGCATATTCTAGAGTATTGAGGACTTCAGCCAGTTCCTATTTTGCTTCTTCAGTTCTCTGGGTAGAATGTAGCTCAGGTTGTAGCCTTCTTCATGGCCACAAACTGTTGGTCACCTGCGCAGCAGGCACACAAGTGAGCACACACTTCACTTTCCCACCGCTGAGGAGATTGTGAGGGAAGAAACGATGCTTGCCAGAGGAGAATGTGTTACTAAGAGAAGATACTAGGGATATGATCCCCAGAATGCCTGCACAGTTGAAGACTGCTCCCCTGGGCTAAGCCCGGCCATCCTTGAAACCAGCTTAGTGGTCATGTGACAAAAATCTCAGCATTCTCACTGTGGGACCAGGGAGACTGAACTATTTGAGAATAAAGTAAACACCGGTCCCAAGTGGCTGTGCTTACCTAATTAAAGACAGGTACACCTCCTGATACACCTGAAAACTGTGGTATAGCCATGGTGCTTGCTGCTGGGAGCACTGGAGACAGAAGTGAGGTCCTCCTCAAGACACATCCTGTCAGGAATCTAATGTAGTCTGGTTCTGGTGCAGGTTTTTTGGTGCCAAGTCAGTTCATTTTTGATTACAGATTTTTATGTTGGTTTTGAAAGATAGGTGGTTATTAGATGGTGTGGGTAAATGATGAAGCCATTGATTTGCCAGGTACTTAATTCATGAAGTTTTATTAAGTTTTCCATGTCCTGTGTTGTGTTGGGTAAAGGGTATTGTGGTAGCTGTTTGTATGTAAGATCCCTGTTGCTTGTGTAGGTCTCCTCCTGGCCGTATGGGCTGCTGTGTCCTCACTCCCACTATGGGGACACTTCTGTCCCTTTCTAGTAGATCGTGGGAGAATGGAAACTTAGTGTTCTGGAGGAGGTCAGTGGGAGCCCCTGGGCACAGCTGGAGTATGGGTTTCATGTTCTCATAAACAGCAGTCTTGAAGCCTCAGGGTAAAAGCGTAGCCAGTTACAGGAAGAAAACATGCAGCCTGGATTAGGTATTGGATTCTTACCTTTAATTGAGACCTTTTAAAAACTATTATTGTTCCTCAACCAAATTTGCTATGTTTTAATCTTTGAGAAAACTTCCTGTGTCTCCAGTCTTTAATTAGTAAAAGGATGAAAATACTTGGTGCTGTTTTGATTAATTCTCTATAGATCTGTCATGTGACATGTGATAAACACCCTTCTGAAGGTGCCTTTTTTTTCTTTTTTTTTAAATAAAAATTGTGAGTCTCTGACCCATTTCCTTCTGTTCATGGGTTACCATGCCCTATTGGTTTTGCCCTGCTGTTCTGCCCTGCTGTTCCATCACTGCCCTGCTGTCTTTCTACCTCACCTCACCTCACCTCACCTCACCTCACCTCACCTCACCTCAC